TATGTGTTGTATTTAACAATGACCCAAGGTTTTGTTGATTTCTTGAGAATTTAACTTTTACTCTCAAATGTAACACATGCAGAGGAACTACTTTTAAACAGATGGGGACAAATAAATTTTAGAATATGCATTTTCTTTTTTGATATGGCAAATTACAGCAATGGTTAATTAGTGGTTTCTTTGTTGCTACATAGTGCAGGATGGGTAGTTCGGTTTCTTTGGTTTCTGAAGAATTTGGTCTGGTTTTATTTGGGGAGGGTGTTAGCTGCAGAGACATATTGTATAGGAAACTGACCAGCACAGTGTCTTTCTAAATGCAATGTGCTGATTAATGCAGATTATTCCTTCAACTTACAGTAGCATAAACAGTTTTGTTTTGTGTGTTTTCATGTGTAAGTTGACCTATAAAGCTACACCCTTTTTGAGCAGGATGTGACCTTTCCCAGTGTTCAACTGCCCAAAAGTCCACAGCGTAGTAGAGAAAGGGTTACTCACTGAGCATCAAATTCAGGTTGTATGTGTGAAAAAACAAACAAACTTGAATGCATAGGCTTAATGTACTTTGCACCCTGCAGCTGTTTTCAGTTCTAAATTACTTTTACCTGATGATGTGCACACAACTACTGCGGGGGTGTCAAACTCAATTTCACTAAGGACCACACTGGGAAATTAAACTAGACATGTTTAGATTAATGACATGCTGTAATTTAATCTAAAAATAAAAACATCCTGAATAATACAGTTACATATAATCCCCATAAGGGGCTCGATAGGAATTCAGCCCCGTAGTCAAAGAAAAAAACAAAACCTTAATATTGTCCTTGTGCACGTTTCTTAAAGTTTCACTCAGTCAGTTTCATAAGACTGAATACAAAAAATGAATGGTTGTGTTGGGAGAGCAATGAAGATATTTCGCCATTTACTTTACGTCTTGTATACAGCTATTTGGTGCACATAAAAATGTGCACATTTGCAGAAAGATAAACAGACATAAAAACCAGATGCCGAACTTAAACTGAATGATTCACCTGACATTTCCTCTTTACAGTTGCTTCATTTTGAGATTCAGCTTGTGCTTTTTCATGCAGCTGCATGGCACTTACTGACTCTGTTGCCCCAGTGGTGCATAATTGTATGAGACTGACTTATCAGATACATGGGCTTTTCTTTACACTTAAAATTGCCTGTGCAACCGGTCTGTTCTATGTTTTGTCTGAATGAATGAAGGGTAATGCTGTAGGTGATGTCAGATGCCAGGGAACTGGTGGAAAGAAAGCGAATGGTAGCTTAGAATTTAACAAATGTTTTTTCAAGCTTCAATTATATCAAATTGACAAATAACTAACCACATCTGCTTAATTCTCAGACAATCCACAAAGCGGTGCGGCTTCGTAGCTTACCAAAGTCGTACTAAAACATTTTTTGACAGATTTTTGCACGCCATGTACCGCATAAAAACGGTTCGAGGTCAGTAAGCACAACCTGAAGTTATACATAAGGCGCACCGGAATATAAGGCACACCGTCGATGTTTGAGAAAATTAAGTGCGCCTTATAGTGCGGAAAATAAATATATATATATATATATATATGTACACATATATATTCACAGAATCGGCTACAAAAGCTGAGCACCTTGAATTACACACTGGACAGAGTAATTGTTGAAAGTCGGTATATTTTCACTTCGTATGTCATACAAAAATCTTTGTCACATTCGAGATTAGCTCTACAGACATTTTCTTGTTATAACATTGTGTTCTTCCAGACTCATTAGTGTCGAGTAATTTCACCAGAGTTTAGAAAAATACATTCATCATCATAAAAAGATGAACATATCTAGAATTTAATAAAAACAATGTAAAGGTTAGTTTATTTAAAAACACACAAAAAAAGACAAAGCAAACAGATGAGGCAACATCAGATTACTACTTCCGTTCACTTTTAGTACCTAACCACACAGATTTTAGGTTAGTACAGAAACAAAAACACATCTATAGAAAATTCAAAACATTTTCTTAATCTGTTCCACTAGCATGTCCAGTGGGTGTATAACCAAAGTCCTTACATAATCTCTAAAGACAATCCATATTATCTATTAATACAAGCTTCTTAGGACTCCAAAAAAAATCTAATAATTGGTACTTTGCTAGATTATTGTAGCAGATATAATCTAATATATTCTGGTATTACACTTTTATCTAACAGTCACAGTTTATCTTTGGTAATACAGAAATTGCAGGCTGGGTTACAGAATCATAATCTTTTTCTTGTCACAATTCTTAGCTCAATTCAAACTCACTTAATTGTTCGATCTTATTTGTCTGCTTATTATTTCAACCCAGTTTATCTGTATGTTTTGTTTTTCATGCTCTTCTTATATGTTACAACAATCTGAGAATTAAGTCCTCTTCCTTGGATTATTTGTGAGTGAGAAGTTCGTGTGTTAAACCATGCAGTTGTCACTAATGCCACTTCACAATAACAGTCACCACCTTCTGACCGGATGGATAGGTTTGCTCTCAAGCCTGCAGCACAGTGTTACGTTCAAAGGCAGCAGCATAAAAGTGCATTTTCAATGGCAGGTGTACACACATGGAAAAAGCACTGTGCACATTCACTCCAAAACCTTCATCTTGTCCTCAACAAGGCAAATTCACTTCCATTACATCTCTACAGTGTAAACACAAATGGTTTGATATTTCATGCCTCAAAAACAATTTCCACTTTTCCTATTTAAGAGCTCACACATATCCACATTAAATTATATCTTTACAATTGCAAACACAATATATGTCTTGCACACAAATAAAGATGATTAACACTTTTTGCAGTCTAACAGTTGTCTGCAAGAAAGGTTTTGACACATGCAGTATAAAAAAAGGCATTCACTGTGAATTATGTTAGCTTTGGATTGTCACCCCAATACGTCATCAGAAAAAAATGTATGTTGTTTGATAATAAAATAAAATACATGATTACCTGATTGAAAACAAAAGAATCACCAGTATTTGGGGGAACTGTGTCGCATACGGTTAGCTCCATATGTATTTCTTGGTACACCACCACAGCGGATTTTAAATCAAATAACCAGCATCTGACTGACTTTCAGCTTTAATTCAAGGGGTTTAACAAATACTTTAACTGTTTAGGAGTTTCAAATTTTTTTAGAAGATTTTCAGAGGTTCAAAAATAATGGGATAACCCAGTTATTTAATGGCCAGGTGAGGAAATTTTCTTAATTATTTCTTTACATCTCCAGAAAATAAAAGATTTGGATTTGACTCCAAGTGTTGCCATCGTTAGGTAAAAAATTTACCTCTCGGAGAGATCGCAAAAACTTTACTACTGGCCAAATCAACAATCTGGTACAGAAGGCATGCACTGGCCATCTCAGCAACACCAAAAGATAACTAACATGTATGATGACAGAATTATTTCTTTGATTAAGAAAAACAACTTTCAAGTAGATATTACTTTCAGAGTGTAAAATCAAGAGATGCTTTTAAGGTGCAAATCACTGATTGCAAGGATAGGAAAGCCACATTGGACTCCCTAACCCCAAAAAACGGACTTAGATTAATAGATTAACTAAACAAAAGAGAAGAGGTAGGATGATAAAAGTAAGGAGAAAGAGAGAAATGGCTCATGGTCTGAAGCGTAGCACATCATCTGCCAGACACGGGGGAGGTGATGTTATGGCATTGGCATGAATGTCTGCTAGTGGAACCTGATCACTAGTGTTTATTGACAATGCAACTGCTCTGATCTCAACCCAGCAGCAGATGTTTTTAGCTTTGAATAAGTAAATGCAAAACGAAATGCACAAAAGACCCACAAACAATCAGCAACTGAAGGTAGTTGCAGTAAAGGCACAGCAGAACATCTCCAGGAAAAAAACACAGTGTTTGAAGATGTTCATGAGTTCTACACTTTAGGCACTCATTGACTGCAAAGACTTTCATCCAACTATTAAAGAAGACTGTAGAAAAATGGCTGTAGTTCCTAAAGAGTAAAAGTTTTGTAAACCTCTTAAATTAAAGTCTGCACTTCAATCACATCTTTAGTGTTGAATTTAAAATCCAGAGGTGATGTACAGAGGCAGAATAACAAAGCTGTCTCCAAATACTTTTGGACCTTACTCTATGCGTATATATATTTATGGTTACAACTATGTGGGCATTGCATCATTGAAAAGTAACTGGTACAGTACACCATAACATATGAATATTTTCCACATCCAAACACAGATACAAATTCTACTGATACAGAAGACAGACTGGATGAATGTGATGGCGAATGACCGAGCTCTGTACTCCATATGTATGTTCCTTAAATGGAGTTTACCAGTTTGGATTGGCTTTCTGCTGCAGATAAAACGTCCAGTCTTTAACATCTCACTGAACTGGTGCAAAATCGATAGTCCTCTTCACTTCACTTTGTGTTGTGTTTGGTCTTGTGGGCAAAGTGAAGAGTTTGAGGCACTGCAGTGGTCTGATAAATCTTCATAGAGCCACTTGTTTTGAAAAAAATACATCTGCTGTAGAATCACTGCATTATTTTTATGCCCTTTCCTTAAAAATGAGAGGAGCTTCGTAAGTGCAAAGCATGCCCTCTATTAAAACACATCATTAACATGAAAACATCATATAAAGATTAGCAGTAAAAGTCAAGACCGAACCACAAATAACTGGCTATCGCGATTTTTTTTTAAAACTGCAATTAAAAATCGTGGAAAAAGTAATGGCTTGTGGGTAATTATTAAACTGAACAAACTGAACTAAACATGCAAAATACATTTATACATTTAACAACATCATGTGGAATCAATAACACTGATCAAGTAACAGTACTGCTTTTTGGTATTACAGTGACTCCACTGTAATAGTTGAATGATCATAGTCACAGTCATGCCTGCCTGAGCTGCTCTTTAAAACATACATAGTCAGCTAAAGCTTCGGATTAAAAAATACGCTGTACATGCTTTTAAGTACCTTTTTGTGCAGAATTAAAACTGCAAATATTTCACTCTTGACAACAATAGTAGAAAATTACACAAACATGCTCCCATATGGGTTTACTTCTAAATACAGAAGGCCCCTACTACAATCTACAGACATCCTCCTCATCAGATTGACTGACTTTTACAATTCTAATGCCAGTATGTTTTTCTAAATATACGCCTCTTAAATGGTGTTTATGGTCTTCGTTAACAGCAGGCTGTGATTGTCATTATCATAACAGCAGCACAGTGACTGAGTATGTCCTGGGTTTATTACGAGCCAGGGACCTTTGTTGGATATTATACTCCTCTGTCTCTCATTAACGCCTGCTTGCCTCTAGACTGACTGAGCAATAGTGAAAAAAACAAAGCAAAAACAAATATGTTTAGTTGTTTCAGTTATGAAGACAGACAAATGCAGATTTCCAGATTTCCTAGCTTTTCAGTATGTCCTTAAATGTAACTTCTGTAAGATTTAGTTGACAAACACCAAAAAATACAGTTCTGTATGTTGTTCACGCTCTTTCATTGTTGGGGTTGAGGATGGTAAAGTGGAATATGTGTGCAAGTGTTATCAAGCAAGGCTTTGACTCCTCTTTCACGTTGAAGATGTCTTCTGCTGGGGCCACTTTCAATATTTTGATTTCTGAATTCTCAAGCAATGCCTTGTACCACCAGTTATGACAAACAGAGAGACCTTGGAAGGATCTTGAGAGGTGCCGACAGTCCTTCTGCTACTTGAGGTGCTCAATAATTGAGATCTCGCCTCTCTCCAGATCCGGTCCGTTCAAGACCAAAGCGCCATTTATGGCCGAAGGTGTCAATCCGTGCAGTCCGGCCTCCTTCTCGTTTTTGTCCCGTTCATTGTTGAAATTGACAGACACAACCCGCTTGGGCAGGGTGACCTCGGGAGCCGGGCTAAATCCCAGCTCTGAGGACAGCTTGCGTTTGATTGATGCAGCACGCTGGAACTTGTCATGGATCTCAATGCTAACACGACGACGGGTTTCTTTGAACTCTGCAGAGACATTTGCCGTCCACTCTGCAGCATGCGCCCGGATCTCTCCAACCTGCAATGACACAAAGATATAAAGAGGTCAGTAGAAATGCATAAGGATGACAGGAGACACATGAAAGCCAGCAACAAAAAGACTTTCACAGGTTTACTTTTGTGGTTTTTATCTGATAACAATGAAAGTAATATTTGCACACCTATTTAAAATATACTTCACCATCACCGTCTCATCCTCAGGTGTATCTAATATATCAGGGGTCTCCAACTCCAGGCCTCGAGGGCCGGTGTCCTGCAGGTTTTAGATATAACCGTGGGTCAACACACCTGAGTCACATGATTAGTTTGTTACCAGGCCTCTGGAGAACTTCAGGACATGTTGAGGAGGTAATTTAGCCATTTGAATGGGCTGTGTTGGACCAAGGACACATCTAAAACCTGCAGGACACCGGCCCTCGAGGCCTGGAGTTGGAGACCCCTGTAATATATAATCAAGCATGTATTTTGTGTTGCTGATATAAACAGGACTCATCTTCATGTATATTTACTACAGAGTTGCTGTTGTGATTCTTTGATAGCTCTTTTCGACTGCAAAGTATATCTCACTTTCTTTCTGTGTTTATTCTATATTCATTACAAGTGTGAGTGCATGTTTGTTGTTTTCTGATCATTCTGATGTTTAAAGCTCAGATGTTCATCTTTGTTGTATTTCCAGATTCTTGTTTACTATTCTAGTACTGTGAATCTTAGTTCTGCTAACACTGAGTTTTAATTTATCTTCAATCCTGTTGGCGAGTGCTACAATATTATGGTCGGGTTTCTGTCTTGACTTTGTTATTGATGCCTCCAAAGAGTTTCTCTGTATCATGTTATTCTTAGTTTTTTGTCTCTTACTGGTCATCTTTTTGGTTATTTCCTGTTTTACTTTGATAGTTAGTCGTCTCTGGAGCCTTGCTTTTACTTCTCCCCACGACTGTCTTGATTTGTCAGCACAAATTCCTCATTTATACCAGCTGTGTATAAATAGTCCTGCCTTCAGTCTTTGTGTGTGTGTGTGTGTGTGTGTGTGTGTGTGTGTGTGTGTGTG